CCCTAAAACCCTAAACCTGAAGGGTTCCTAACGTTCATACTGTAACCTCGCAGGGCCGACTGGGAAGAGCTTCCGAAGCCTCTGCTGCCCCGGCGCTTCGCTTTGCTACCTGGCCATCCCACACGGTTTGGGGTGTAGGGTCTAGGATACGGTTGGGACTAAGGGTTTAGGTTTAGGCTCTGGGGGTTAGGACTAAGGGTTTAGGGCTTAATAAGGATATATGATTAGGATTAAGGGTTTAGGATTGAAGGTTAAGATGGGGTGCCATCCGAAGCGCTTGGAGTCCGCAACTCAACTTCCCCCCACCCCCAAATTAACACGGAAACTGGAATAGCACCCTTGCTAACCGACAGTAGTCTGTGTCAGGCCGATTGCATGTTCGTTGTTAGTTTGAAGAATTTTTCGCACTGAATCTTGGGATGTTTCTTTTATTGAGTTTAGGCTGCAGGGTTCAGGGTTTAGGGCTTACTACGACCCCAATGCGCCCCACGCAAACAACCATTCGGGCCCTGTTATTTCGGACCCCGAACCTTAAGACTTGAACCCTCAAGGATGGTCTTCGTGCGGTAAACCCTACACACCCTTAGCCCAAAGCTAAACACGTGTCGCTCCTCACTGTTGGACTGAGGGGGCTTCGGAGTGGATGCTTTGGGTGAAAGGAGGAGGTCACCAAAACAACCGGCCCAATAAGGTTACTTGGAGGTGCATAGGTCGCTACAGGGGATAATGGGGTTATATAGGGGAGCTACAGGGATTGGGACGTTCCTCGATCTTGTTGCAAGTCAGCGTATAAAACGAAAGTAATTGGCCATTGCCTATATTATATGGGGGGGGGGGCATGCAACACTACTTCCAGCCAACGAGACTTTAAATGTTCACGCGTAATGTGGGGACTCCTCACAGGACTCCCTCTTTTATGAAATTTTGTGCTTCTTCTCAACAGTACGGCTCCCTGCAGTTGAAGAGGCAAAGAGAGCTGTGGATTCGTGCGGACTTACCCCATAGAGGTTGATGGGTAGCTGCAGGTAGCGCAGCAGCCCCCAGATGTAGGCTGCAATGCTGTCAATCTCCTTAACCGGTCTGAGTTTCCATTTTATTTTCCATTATCCCAAACCCCAATATAACCACCATATAACCCTATAATCCCTATAGTTTCCATTTTCTTTTCCATTATGCCTGGAACCCATCTTGCAGCTGACCATGAACCTGCCAAGTTAGCTTCAACTCTGTTGCTGAAGTGGGGCTGGAGGAGTGGATCCCTATGATGGTCTCTCTGCTCTCCCCATGCAATATTGGCGGATTACTTTTGGGAATTCTGGGATTTTCGTAGGCGAAGGTCATGCAGGGTTTGGAATGTCAACAGTACCACTTACATTCCCTCCCCCACTCCCCTTAAGCACTACTGAGCCACTGGAGAATGATGGCTCCCAGGCAGCAAAGTGGCAGGTGTAGCGATTTGGTGGGGCTTGGGGTGTCGGAGCAAATGGGTGTTTCAAAGCAAGGGAAAGCACATACATACATGCATACAGGCATACACTTGTGTGCTGATTCCCATGATAACGGGATCCGTCTAGAAACTCTCATACAGGGATCCCCGCATTAATTCGTGGAATCCCGCAGTTCAGATTCACGCCGTTCTTCAATCTCCGGTCTGAGGGCTTCTTTCATTCCTAAACCCTAAAAACACAGGACTACAAGGCCTTGCCATCATTGGGATAATGGCAAAGAAAATGGAAACTACCATATGCTTAGGGCCTAAGCCCTAAACCCTCATGAGCTCCTTCGTTGGGGTAATCAGGCTTAGGGCTTCAGGCTCAGCAATGAGGGCTTGAAGGTTGAGCGCTTCAGGAGCTACAGCTACGGCCTGGCTGAAGGTTTAGATTTTAACGTCGAGGGAGCTCGCTATTCAGATCGCGTTTGCGGGGGAAAGGGACACTGAATGAATTGCAGGAATTTCTTTGGTGGGAAGCGCTGCTCAAAGTAGCTGCAGCAAGATTCTTCCATGAATATTGTAGGGCACACTGGCCTAACCAACTATGGAACGTGAAAAATGGCCCCTAATAGACTACTACTGCTTCTTTGGAAGGGGCCTATGTGGGATGCTATGTTAGCATAGTAAGAGGGTAGATACCACCAGATAACGCTTCCCAGATGCCTTAATCCTAAACCCTAATCCCTGTCAAGTCCTTTCCCCTGG